ATAAAATGTTAGTCCTTCAAAATAAAATATAATCGACCCAAAAATAGACGAAGATTTGCCTAAAATTGTAAAGCGCCGCTAGCTGGGCGGATCTCCTGGAAAAATAGCGATTCCTTTAAATATTTTCAAGATTTCCGTTTATAAAATGTTGGTCCTTCAAAATAAAATATAATCGACCCAAAAATAGACAAAGATTTGCCTAAAATTGAAAAGCGCCGCCAGCTGGGCGGATCTCCTGGAAAAATAGCGATTCCTTTAAATATTTTCAAGATTTCCGCTTATAAAATGTTGGTCCTTCAAAATAAAATATAATCGACCCAAAAATAGACGAAGATTTGACTAAAATTGAAAAGCGCCGCCAGCTGGGCGGATCTCCTGGAAAAATAGCGATTCCTTTAATTATTTTCAAGATTTCCGTAAATAGACACAAATAGACGATGATTTTTTAATTATCGACTGCCAGGATTGCAAGGATTAAATTTATATAGACCTTGAGAATAGTCGCAGATAATTTTTAAAGTGCTTTGTCCTGGCAGTCGGCAATTAACAAATCGTCGTCTATCATGGAAGCAGACGAGCTTTTTGTACTAAAAAACACAAATAGACGATGATTTTTTAATTATCGACTGCCAGGATTGAAAGGATTAAATTTATATAGACCTTGAGAATAGTCGCGAAATAATTTTTAAAGTGCTTTGTCCTGGCAGTCGGCAATTAACAAATCGTCGTCTATCATGGAAGCAGACGAGCTTTTTGTACTAAAAAACACAAATAGATGATGATTTTTTAATTATCGACTGCCAGGATTGCAAGGATTAAATTTATATAGACCTTGAGAATAGTCGCGAAATAATTTTTAGAGTGCTTTGTCCTGGCAGTCGGCAATTAAAAAATCGTCGTCTATCATGGAAGCAGACGAGCTTTTTGTACTAAAAAACACAAATAGACGATGATTTTTTAATTATCGGCTGCCAGGATTGAAAGGATTAAATTTATATAGACCTTGAGAATAGTCGCGAAATAATTTTTAAAGTGCTTTGTCCTGGCAGTCGGCAATTAAAAAATCGTCGTCTATCATGGAAGCAGACGAGCTTTTTGTACTAAAAAAAAAAAATAGACGATGATTTTTTAATTATCGACTGCCAGGATTGAAAGGATTAAATTTATATAGACCTTGAGAATAGTCGCGAAATAATTTTTAAAGTGCTTCGTCCTGGCAGTCGGCAATTAACAAATCGTCGTCTATCATGGAAGCAGACGAGCTTTTTGTACTAAAAAACACAAATAGACGATGATTTTTTAATTATCGACTGCCAGGATTGAAAGGATTAAATTTATATAGACCTTGAGAATAGTCGCGAAATAATTTTTAAAGTGCTTTGTCCTGGCAGTCGGCAATTAACAAATCGTCGTCTATCATGGAAGCAGACGAGCTTTTTGTACTAAAAAACACAAATAGACGATGATTTTTTAATTATCGACTGCCAGGATTGCAAGGATTAAATTTATATAGACCTTGAGAATAGTCGCGAAATAATTTTTAGAGTGCTTTGTCCTGGCAGTCGGCAATTAAAAAATCGTCGTCTATCATGGAAGCAGACGAGCTTTTTGTACTAAAAAACACAAATAGACGATGATTTTTTAATTATCGGCTGCCAGGATTGAAAGGATTAAATTTATATAGACCTTGAGAATAGTCGCGAAATAATTTTTAAAGTGCTTTGTCCTGGCAGTCGGCAATTAAAAAATCGTCGTCTATCATGGAAGCAGACGAGCTTTTTGTACTAAAAAAAAAAAATAGACGATGATTTTTTAATTATCGACTGCCAGGATTGCATGGATTAAATTTATATAGACCTTGAGAATAGTCGCGAAATAATTTTTAAAGTGCTCCGTCCTGGCAGTCGGCAATTAACAAATCGTCGTCTATCATGGAAGCAGACGAGCTTTTTGTACTAAAAAACACAAATAGACGATGATTTTTTAATTATCGACTGCCAGGATTGAAAGGATTAAATTTATATAGACCTTGAGAATAGTCGCGAAATAATTTTTAAAGTGCTTTGTCCTGGCAGTCGGCAATTAAAAAATCGTCGTCTATCATGGAAGCAGACGAGCTTTTTGTACTAAAAAAAAAAAATAGACGATGATTTTTTAATTATCGACTGCCAGGATTGCAAGGATTAAATTTATATAGACCTTGAGAATAGTCGCGAAATAATTTTTAAAGTGCTTTGTCCTGGCAGTCGGCAATTAAAAAATCGTCGTCTATCATGGAAGCAGACGAGCTTTTTGTACTAAAAAAAAAAAATAGACGATGATTTTTTAATTATCGACTGCCAGGATTGAAAGGATTAAATTTATATAGACCTTGAGAATAGTCGCGAAATAATTTTTAAAGTGCTTTGTCCTGGCAGTCGGCAATTAACAAATCGTCGTCTATTGATAGAAGCAGACGAGCTTTTTGTACTAAAAAACACAAATAGACGATGATTTTTTAATTATCGACTGCCAGGATTGAAAGGATTAAATTTATATAGACCTTGACAATAGTCGCGAAATAATTTTTAGAGTGCTTTGTCCTGGCAGTCGGCAATTAACAAATCGTCGTCTATTGATAGAAGCAGACGAGCTTTTTGTACTAAAAAACACAAATAGACGATGATTTTTTAATTATCGACTGCCAGGATTGAAAGGATTAAATTTATATAGACCTTGAGAATAGTCGCGAAATAATTTTTAAAGTGCTTTGTCCTGGCAGTCGGCAATTAACAAATCGTCGTCTATCATGGAAGCAGACGAGCTTTTTGTACCAAAAAACAGAAATAGACGATGATTTTTTAATTATCGACTGCCAGGATTGTAAGGATTAAATTTATATAGACCTTGAGAATGGTCGCGAAATAATTTTTAGATTGCTTTGTCCTGGCAGTCGGTAATTAAAAAATCGTCGTCTATCGATAGAAGCAGACGAGCTTTTTGTAACAAAAACTACTAATATTTTTTAGATTTAGGTTCAGAATATTTGTCATAGCTTTTGTCAGGATTTATGTCAGAATGTCTGTCAGGGTCTTTGTTACCCCGCTGGACCTCGACTTTTAGTCTTTAATTTTGCAAAATTTGTTCCTTGCAGAATATTTTTCAGATTTTCGGTTAGAATATTTGTCAGGATTTTTGTCAGAATACCTGTCAGAATATTCCTCAGAATTTTTGTCTGGGTCTTGGTTAGCGCGCCGGACCTCGACTTTTAGTTCTATATTTTGCAAAATTTGTTGCTTTCAGAATATTTTTCATATTTTCGTTAAGAATATTTGTCCGAGGTTCTGTCAGAATATTTGTCAGGATTTTTGTCAGAATATTTGTCATGAATTTTTTCAGCCCGCCGGTACTTCTCATCTCGACTTTTAGTCCTAAATTTATTATTTAGTTATTTTGAAGATCAATAATTTACCAATTAATAATGTTGCTATCTTTTTCCCTACTTCTGGCACTCATGACGGTATATTGGATGTACGGCCTGTCTACACACCCTGAAAAGTTTAACGTCCCCGCATGAAGAGGGGGATGAAAAATTGTCGCAGAGCAAGACGGGCCCTAATGACCATTGGCTAATTCGCTGAGATAAATTAAAATGCAGTGCGAGGCCGTTTGTCTTTCCTGTGCTGCATCCAAGTTGGCGCAAGTCATTTCCGGGACGATCCTAATTTTTGCTCAAATTGTACTCGGGGGGACCAAAGAAAGTTTTGCATTTTGCCGAGTCAGAGTGGAAGCTGAGAGGGGGGCGAGAAAATTACTTTCTCCACATTTGTCAACACGGATGAAAACTTTTCGGCACGGAGTTTTTCAGTGATCTTGCAATTTTTTTAAGAATATAAATCATATTTGAAAAAATCATGCAATCCAAATTTATGTACATTTTCACCTTTGTAGTGGAAAAAATATTTTTGCAGGCTTGCATTTTAAAAAGACCCATTTCCATTATCCAGCACTTTGCCATTTCTTTTTGCGCCCAAAGTGAAAATCAATGCTCCCTTGCGAATTCGTCGGGACTCACACAAAGGCAGGCGTTAATTGCGCAGAACCGAGCACCGCAAACGCGAACTTTGCCGAAATAAATAGGTTTCGGGTTTTGTGGGTTGATGCATGGGCGGCCGCCGCGCGTGCGAAAGAGAGGCGAGGGGTGTTAAGAGCCGTTCTACCGCATAAACACACGATAAATATATGTAGAGGGAAGAAGAAGAAAGTTGCTGTGCGTCTCTTGAGCACTCTGCTGTAGTGCAAGAAGAAGAAGGAAATCTTTGCTTAAAATTCTTCTCGTGCCGCCGAGAGGAAAACCACATAAATTGTTTGACTGCCGAGCGCGTTGAGAGCGAAACCGCCGCGCACACACAATGGGACACACCGCACCAAACTACTCCTTCCCATCTGGATTGTCTGCGTGCGGCTCACGATTCGCCCGCCGAATAACTTTGAGAAGAACAGGCTAATTGCACATCTAGTGCCAACATACGCCAGTTAAGATTTGCAGTGTTTAATCCTCATTTTTATCTCTCCATCTTTTTAGAATTCAGTCTGAAATTTTTTAATTTACCAGCAGTCTTGATTTATTGTTTTACAATAAGTTAATTTAACTTTGCAATGACCATTTCAACATAATCGAATCCTTTCCAGACTTAAAAATGGTCCTAATTAATAACTCTGAAAGTTGTGTTAGAATCCTGGAATATGTTTATAAATTTTCGCGAACACATCAATAAAATTTAGTTTGGAACGAATTTATAGTTATTTTTAATTATTTCAAAGAAAATATAAAGATAAACGTTTCTAGTCTCATTTGTCAAACAAATTAATGAACAGTTTATCGCTAGTTCATGGAATTCTCCTTTTGGGTTAAAATAAATAATCAAAAGATCCTAATTTGATCACACAAGCTACAAAAATTGCTTGCGAAAATAAATGAGATCAACCAGAAGAACTTAATTTTCTGTTTTTAAACTCACCAGAGCGGTGTCGATTCCGCCAACGATCGTGATGCCCAAGTTGGTCGAGGTCCTGGGAATTTCGATGTGGCTGATTTCACCTTCAAGAACAGGTAGTCGCGTGATTCCTGCAACAATTGATAATTCAAAATTTTAATCAAGCGCATTAAACACATTTTTAAATAACGGCAATTTATATACGAATGGAACTAATTGAACTATTCATATTTTTTTTAATAGAAATAAATTAATTTCAATTATTTCAAAATTTCAATCTTCTGTTATTTATTATCATTATCAATATTTTAAAAAATAAATGCATTAAATTAGGAATCTTATGACATAACAAAATGTCTTGGCCTGACCCTAAAAAATAAAAATAAAAAAAAAATATTTCTCTTTCTTCCAATAGAAGTAAAAAATTCTCATTTTATTTTTGATGAATTCATTGTTAAAATTAACAATGGCTTTAGCTAGAAATCCAATCACGCTGCCGGATCGGAGCTCATCTCATCATGTCGACTTCATAAACAAAATTCACCTGCGCAGGGCGAGATTGATAATCCGCGTGCAAGACGATAATTGAAAGCACACATTGCGCGCATTAATTCCCTCGGAATTTGGCTGCATGTGTGAGGGGGGCCTGCTTTCGCTCTCTCGCCGCGAAGACAAACGCCTGCTTTTGTCCCCCTACTTACATATGTACTGAGTGGGAAACTCACTCTCGGCGCGGCACAAAGCCCGTATGGAGCTCAGACTGCCATTGTTCTTAAGAGAAATGGTGCCGCTCGCTTTCAACCAGACACTCGCGCGCCGACAGGTTTGTCGCGAATCTTGATCGCATCCGAAATCACTAAAATTGCAAGAATGGATCGCTATTCTACACTATTTGTGGTTTTGGAGACGCAAATGCAAAATTAGAAGACGAAAATGAATTGGGAAATCTAAGCAAGCGTTCGTTAATTACAATAATTCTTTGGGAATTTATAAGTTTATTTAACGAACTTATTAAACTATAGCTAGAAAAATCATCAATATTTGGTAAGGCGAAATTTTTTCCGCGGAAATGTTAGTGATTTAATTAAATTTCAGAATAATACGGCGTATTTATGAATTTAAAAAAAAAATCTGCTGCATAACAAATCCCAATTAAGTTTTTACAAAGCCTTCCTTGATCCTTAAATGAAAAACTAACATGATTTGAAAAGTAATTGTGTAAAAAAAAACAATAAATAAATTATATATCTTATAGAAATGAGCCTTTGGGCAGAGTTCGTGTCAATCGGCGACACTTTGCTCTAAGGGGGAAACGTTCTCGGAACACATCAGCTTTAATAGAGCAACGCTCTATAGTAAGTGGAACGTATGTGTCTGTATTTTGATACCAACGTGGCCCGAAGGTGCGAGTCGACAGCAAAGTAATTGAATTGGTAATTCGATAAGACGACGCGCAACTAGGGGTAATCCCGACGCAATAATGGTTTCGGCGAACGCGAGCCGCACTCCCCGGTGTCATTTTCACCTTGGCGCGAGTTAAGTCTGAAGTCGCACCTACCATTAAGTGGTGAAGTAGAAGAGCACTTCCGGCGCGGAAAAGTGAGCACTCAACCTCGCTCGATTTGCATTTTGCACTTAATCCATTTGAACTAAAAGCAGTAACCGAAGGTTAAGTAACACTTCTGTAATAGTTTTAATGGATTTTTCTAGAAAATTACATTGATGTTGTTAGGATTCAATTTTTATATCGGGTTGTTAAGAAATTTGTAAAAATAATCTACAGAACTAAAAGATAATATGAAAAATTTTGAAAACATCGATTTTACTTCAATTAACTTGTTCTAAGCGGCTCGTAGATCAACATTAAAGCAACCTAATAATAAACTTTGAGCCACCAATATATAATATTATCGAGCCACTTTAGTCCAGGTGATATAAAAAGACCACGATTATTAAACATGAAAAAATACAAAAGTTCCAAGAAAATTTTTGAAAATGCAGATTTTTCTTCAATGAATTTGTTTGAAGGGGCTTGTAGATCAAAATTAAAGCGACCCAATACATTTTAGATCTGCCCGAAAATAAACTTTGGGCCACCAAAGTAATCTTATACATTTTATTTCCTACCGAGAAAAATCTTTGTGGCACTACTAAGAGAAATAGTTATAATGACCTTTGCCCTCTTCCGCGCGCGTTGGCCATATTTCGCACCAGCGCGCGGTCACTGCCTCATTTCACTCCACAATCACGTCCGTTCATTTATCTCGGGTGCAAAAAGCGAAGGCCCGCTATTTGTTGTCTCGAACCACCAACTTAATCCCGCTGCCAGTTTTGCCCTGCGGCCTCATAATGAACGGCGCATTGTGTCATAATTTAGCTCCACGCCACATCAAACACCAAATGCGAAAAGCGGAGCGATATGAACAATCATGACATCGTAAATTTCAAGGGTATAAACATAAACAATAAATTTAAAATTTAGTAATATGAAAATTCCACATCTATGAAAAATACAATATTTTATAACAGAGATTGAATTAAACATTGTTAAATTTTTAAATACATTGGCAAATGTAAAATTTGAATACAAAAAATTTCACAGAAAATATATTTCTAAAGTTAATAAGTACAAATATTAATTTTCTAGGAAGACAATTTGCATAGATTGATGGTTATAAATTAAAATGGGATTGAATTCACTTAAAAACATTTTAAATTTTCATTTTAAAAATAATTTTGCATTATCATGCAGCTGAAAAAACAAACTAAATTAACCACAGTTAAACCTTCTTGTCGAAAATTTGCTCTTTTTAACCTCAAATTTATTAAAAGCGACGCCTTGGGGATGGCAGCACCTTTTTGAAAAGCGTGTTCTGGCCAACTTTCCCGACCTTAACAAGATCCGCCTCTTTTCCAATTCAATTTTGGCCGGTTTAACCTCTCCGGCCTCGGATGAAATTTTTAACGAGGCAAGCGAGCAAAAATTCAGAAAACTCTCCTCTTTTGAAAAGAAACTCCCCGCAGACCAGCACTTGAAAAGGGTCGGCCTCTCTTGCTCGTCTCTCCCTTTTTTATTCCTGCTCTGCGGCGCAGTATGACTCTTCAAAAAATCGGCCTTTGCCTAAAACCGTCAATTACGCTAAAAGCGGCCTCGGCTGGGCAAATTGAGTGAAATTAACAGCAGCGGCTCTTTTTACCGATTTCGCTCTTTTCTCGCCGCACAATTTTTTCGCCCATTGCTATCACGGAACAATATAATAATTTTTATCGCTTTCTGAAATGCGAGAGCGAGTCGGTCGGATGGGGCATATAAAGTTTTACGGTGGCAAAAAAAAAAGGGAACTTTTGCTCGCTCGCAGACTTGCGAAAACAAACTCGTAAAAACGACCGACTTTGGGAAATTCTTCTTGTATAGCAAAAAATTCTAGGTATATGGAAAAAAAACACGCATCTTCAGCAGCCCATCAAGTTTTTGCGGAAAAAAACTGCTCACTATGAACCTGATTTTCAAATTTTTTAGATAAACTTTTGGCGATCAAGGAATTTCTTCCAAACTTTTTTCTGGTTTAAATTTAATTAATACACTAGCCTAGAACCACTTTTGTAAAAGTTGCACTTTATTTCATTATTTTGATTAACCTTCGTCTTTTTTAAAAATTTGAATTAGGGAGAAAACCAAGTTTGAAAATATCTTCACACATGAAAATAGCTATCGCTTTGCTGGAAATTTTCATGAAACGTTAATTAAATCCATTTGAAAAGTTCATTTTTTTCGCTAAAACATTGAAAGCAAAATGTTTGTTTTGGAATATTTCCTGTTCGTGAACGGTTTAGCTGCATCGATTATTTCGCGTGCGAGGCAATTTCGCGGCGCCATTTCGCCGACTCTCATGCATCGTCTCAGATTTATATCTCTTTCTATGCTGAGAGAGGAGCGAAGCAGCCACCCTCATCTGCAAACCCATTTCAATAAATCTCGGGTTAACACGCGAGGATTTGCGACGAGATCTCTCTGTTTGGTGTCCTTCCGCTGTCGTTTGAATTTATGTTCACGCCGATCTCTCTGGCCAACGAAACGAAGAGAGGAAATAAAAGCTCTTGCATGCAAAATGTACAAGATGAGAGAGAGATAGAGAAAGGCCATCTGCGGCACGAGATGAAAACAAATGGGAAGAGGAATAATTTACCGGAAAGAAAAGTCGGTGAGAATAAATGGATTTCAGTTTCCTTAGTCTTTTTCCTGTTAAAATACACGTGTAAAAAAATAACTGAAGGCAATGTAAACTTATATTATAAATTTTTCCGAATATTACTATAAATCCAATTAATATGTAATTTTTTTTTGTATTGATTTTATTTTAGATTTTTCTTGACAAAATTGATTAATTGGAGTAATTTAATTTTTATGTCTAGGTATAAATTTAAAAATTGATTAATTCAAGCAGGAAAATAAATTTTTGTTATCACTCTGTAAAATCAAAATTTCAACAATTGGATTAAGTTTTTTTACTAACTTTTTTAAATTAAATTGATTTAGTTTTTCCCCTTTCCTATTATTCGAAACTAAACCATGCAAATCAACTATAATTATGATAACATTGTAAGGTCTAAAAAGTTTCATCTATTTCATTTGTCAAAAAATGTTTGTTTCCACTCAAAAAAGGTAGTTGTTTTTGGAGGAGACGCAAAGTAGGCCAGACAAAAGCAGCTCTGGATGAGGCGACGACGATTGTAATTGCAAAACAACCACAAAGCTGCACCGTTGGTTTTCATCAGATTGGGAGGTGCTGCTGAACAACAATGAGGCGAGAGAGCGTCGCAAGAGACACACGTCTAGTCTTTGTTCAAAATGCTTTTCACTGCTCGAGCTGGCAAAAGCACTCGACGGACCCGACCGACGGAATTATTTTGTGGTCACTCAGGGCCGCGCATTTTAAACGACCAGAACAATGGGCCGACTGAGGGCGATTAAAACCTACGACATTATTGGCGCGAGAGAGGAATAAATTCGTAGGATTTTCATTGTTTATGGTTATTACCTTTGCACAAATAACAACGGATTAATTTCTAAAGGAGATTTGTGGCTATTTTAGCTAAGTGAGGCCCACCAAATAAATTCTCTATATATTATCTTAAATTGGCGGCTAATTTAATGTCGGGTTTTTGCCGTGATAATTTTTTGACGCTAAATCAGACCAAGACGGTGGTTCTTAATTTTCAACTCAGGCGCCCCGTCCTAGACCGCGATAATTTTACTTTGAATGGTGACAATTTGACCGAGTCGGACGTGACAAAGTTTTTGGGCTTGTATCTCGCGCATAATTTGAAGTGGACTGAGCATTCAGATTATGTAGTTGGAAAATTAAATAGTGCAGTTTTTTTAATTAACAACTTGATGCGCTCTGTTGATGTGAAATATTTGAAAATGATTTACTTTGCTTACTGTCAGTCTATTATGAGTTACGGCATTGTAAATTGGGGAGGGTCGAATCAGGCGATGGACGAGATTTTTCTGGCGCAGAAAAAAGTGGTGCGAGCTCTTGCGGGTGAGCGCTATTGGCGCAGTACGGAGCCGCTTTGTTCTGCGCGGCCGCTTTTCGTTCGGTTCGACTTTCTTCCTGTTTTTTCCATTTATCTCTTTGAATCTTGTAAATTTGTTCGTAAATATCCACACTATTTCCAAAAGACGAGTGCAGTTCATAATTATCAGACACGGGCAAAAAGTGATTTGTATGTTGCTGCCCAGACTTTGTTAATTTCTAAGCAGAACCCTTTGACTTGTTTGGCTGCTTTGTATAACAAATTGCCTGTTTCGATTCGCTTAGAGCCTCGATACAAGATTTTTGAAAGTAGTTTGAGGCGATTTGTTCATTCACATAAATTTTATAGCAAAGAAGAGTTTTTTCAACTAATTGATACATTGTAATATTTCTGTTGTTTTTTACTCTTTACTTTCTACTTGTTTTGTACTATGTTGCAAATGGGGCGCGTCGCAATGAGTAATTACATCGTGGTGACGCCTCATACGTCAATAAAGATCAATAATAATAATTATTTTTTAACCAATATATAAAGATGGAACCAAAATTTTTTATTGCTAAATTTTCAAGAAAATCAAATTTCGTGATCAACAAAGAAATCGCGATATAAAAATTCGCACTCGCCTTAAGCTTCAAACCAGAAGTTCACATTTCCCGCCAAATGAATTTGAACCTCGGGGAAGTTATTCTTGATTGGAAAATCCCTCAATTGAGTTAAAACTGCCAACATTCTACTTCTGAAAAGTAAAATAAAGACTCCTCTACCGGTTAGATTGACGAAGATTAATTTTTCAATCACGTTTTTGACGTTGGTCATGAAATTTGGCCTTCCTTCACATTCTGAAATACAAAAAATTGAAATTGCTAATGTCCCTCTTTAAATTGCCCAAGGTGGATAAAGACATTTGAATATTTTTCACAAAAATAAGTTTCATTGCAAGTTGAACGTAACTTTATCAATATAATTACCAACCAAATTCGACAATTCCACGAACATACTGATTAACTAATCAAACCAATCACGACTGCTTTCAACTAAAACCCACTCGACGCATTTGTGATGTAATAATTTCAATAATTGGACCGCCTAGAATTGTATAATTCCTCTCCCTGCTCTCTCGATTTTAATGCTGAGAGCACTTTGTGCATGTCCTTGGCAGAAATGGCTGGAAACTAATTTGGGCTCAAAGCTGACGTCAAATGGAAAAGAGCAGCTAGGTCTGCAGAGGATGCGAAACAAATTAACTGACGATAAGTGGTTTATAATTACTTGATAAGGGTGGGCGCCGCGTGACGGAGCGGAAAGTTCATTTTCTACTCGCCGCGCGCATATTCCGCAGCGCCAAAACGAAAAACTTTCTTTCGTTTCGACGAGAAGAGAGCAGAATTTTATGTGCGGTGCCGAAAGAGATAGAGAGGGTGAAAACAGACTGGGGTTCATTAGCAAATAATAACCATCCGAGAGAAATCACTTTTACACCGAAAAGTTTAAAATTCATCACAATATTAAAAGATTGTAACTACAGTAATTAACTTTGTATTTTTTGCACTCTATAAGAGGAGATTCAGCGTGTATTTTTAACAATTCTTTGTTCTATGCTTTGCAACTTAATTATTTTAATTTGATTTTAAATTACTCTAAAATAAATTCATCTTTTATTTTAATTTTGAATCATTTAAAGTTTATTTATGTTCTTTTAAAAATACTTTCCAGACCAAAAATTATGTAGGAAATTAAATTAATTTACAACAAAAATTTAAAAGTTTGCCTCACAGTGTTTTGTTAATATTTCGTTTGATTGCAGTTGCTTGTTATTTTTCCACCAAACATGAAGTCCTATATCAAATACGAGGAAGTGAATTTCTGAAAACAAGCTTTGGCGTGTGTAGTATTTAGCTTTTTGCGTCGCGTATGCGGCCGACTGTGATTTAATTATACGGCGGCAGCAACTTTTCCTGCTGCGGAAAAAAGCACACCCGCAGAGAGAGGAAAAAGCAAAACTTGGTGCGGCCAGCAAAAATCGGCCTGTGTTTGCGCGCATGCATTATTTCTTCCGCCGACGACCCTCCGGCTCTGTTTTCTCTGCACCAGCCACACATGCCGCGCAGAATAATCAGCCAAGCACGCTCGCACCCCATATCATCCGCCCAGTTCGCATTCAGTCTCGGTGAATAATATTCTTTCCAACGGATCGAAAGCGAAGGCAAATTATGAGTTATTAAAGGGACTCGCAAGAAAAAAAGGCGAATCAATGCAAATTTAAATTTATAATAGGATATTGATTTTGGATGAAAATTTATGAATTAATACGATTTTTAAATGTCTTTAAAGACAGTCATTTTTACACTCCATCTAAAGTTTACTTTGACATTAAAATCGTGTCGTAATTACATTTCTTAGAATTATATTATTTTTTTCTAATTTTCAGCCACTTTAATTAATTAAGATTTTGTTAAATATTATTGAAACAAGTTTATTGCACTATTATTTATAATTCCAATAAAAATAAGATAAAAAGAATTAAAACCAATCCAATATGTTGAGTATAAATCTGTAATTCGTTAATTTTGGTAGAAAAAAACCACATCATTACGTCGTTTACGAATCATTGTATAAAGAAAGCTCTGGTTAAAAATCAATAAAAAATTATTCAATCATTTTCTGAGTTTCAATCTCGAGATTTTTGGCTCAGATTC